CTGGCGCACCGCCGCGGGCACGCGCGCCCACCCTGCGGCACCCTGTGTCTCTTCGGGCGACACGCGCGGCTTGCTCGCGAGGAGGCCGGGTCGGGCGCTGACCCCTTCCCTCGGCATCCACGCAAAATCTCTTAAGAGACGTTACTAGGTACATAACAGTACAATTGATTAAAAACAACAACAACAACACATACTGCTATGATTTGCAATGCATAATTGTATGCAATGTATAATTATCCTAATAGCGCTTTGAGAAACCACGCTATATAAAATAAAGTTGATTATTATATTATAATAGTCCGTGACCACTATCAACGTCAGCTGTCCCTTAGCTGGGGACAGGAATGAAGGTCTTGCTGCGCACCAGAGGACCCGCAGAGCTGCTGAGATGAAGCTTTGGCGATGTTCACAGTTCTTTTCCTGCTGTTTCATTTCCTGCCCTAATCCGTTGTGCCGATTTACCTACTGTAGTTGCCTCTTTCAAACCCGCGGACTGATAAAGATAAAGATATACAGGCGTTCGCACTGGAACTCTTTTACCACTCCTAAACCGAATCGGAAAGGAAGGCGAACAGATATTTTGTTTTTAATTTGTCCCCCTTGACGCGGCGCCCGACTCTCGCTGGTTTCATTCGCTCCTATGTGGAGAGTATCTTATTATATCAGATGAGGAGACCCTCCCCCGCTACACGCTGACCTGCTCTGAATGTTCCCAGTGCCGGAGAATTTCACCCGATAGCAGGTGTCGCGGTGACGGCACCCCGGGCAGCTCTTTTCAAGGAGAAAAGTTGCGGAGAACTTTGCACTCCATTGACGCAAAAGAACGGCCACGCCCCCTCCCGCTTTCAGCCAATGGTGCGACTCGGGCCACAGACAACAGCCAATGGGAAGGCGGCTGCTGGAGCGTGGCGGTGGGGGAGGGGCGGTCTCCAGCACGTTGGAATAAAAGCTGCGCTCAGCCCTATCAGAGGGGTTTGAAGAATTGTTACTCTGGCTGGGTCACCGAAGGCAAAGAGTGTGCAAATACCCTGCAAACCCTAGCATAGCGTCGCCTGGTATTTTTTTCTCTGTTCAAATACAACTGTTCTTAAGCGTTGATACAGGCTTGGGCTTGCAGACGCAGCACACGTCTGAGGACTGCGCCTGTCTAGAAAGTTGATCTGTAGAGGTTCAAAAGTAGAAAAGAGCAAAGACAAGCAGGCAACAGCAACCAAAAACGGTAACCTCGTTTAGCCATTGTTGTGCTATGGTAAACAGGAGATGTTTCTCGGTTATAGAGCATTGTACGTTATGCGAAAGATCCAGTAACTAGAACACAGAAAAGCAAAACAAAAAAAAAATACCTGCAAAAAAACAAAACAACAAACGCGTGATAAATGCGTTTGTTTTGGTTCTGCCAAAATACAAAGCGAGCTAAAACAGACTGGAAGCAAAGTGTCATAAAACCCTTAAACAGGGCTTTTGACAGACGGGGAAAACAGCATTACTGTGTTCATTGTGATAGCGAGTATAAATCGCTCATTGATCACCCCAGGGCCCGGAGGAGGGCACTGACAGCTGGCCGGTCGCTATGCCTTGGGACGTCAGGGTTCTGGACTACAAATCCGAAAGACACTGCAAGAAATCTTCCTTCGCGTTTTACCGAGCCGTGCGCGACCTGCTAGCGGTGTGGGTCTTGGAGGACATGCGGACCATGGAGGTGTTTCACTGGGAGGAGGACGGGCGGGCGTGCGCCTACTCCCCATCGGAAGCCCTGCTCTACGCGCTGGTGCACGACCACCAGCCCTACGCCCGCTACCTGCTCAGCAGATACTCGGTGGCCGCGCTGGAGACGCCCAGCAAGAGCTTCTGCTGCTGCCCGTCCTCCACGGCCCCGCACCTCGCCATGGCCGTGCGCTACAATCGCGTCGGCATCCTCAAGATGATCCTCTCCGCCGCCAGGGGCTTCAGGGAGTGCGAGCGGCTCGGCTACGTCAACCGCCGCGGTTGCGCTCACCTGGACGGCGGCAAGACCCCGCTGCATCTGGCCTGCGAGCTGGTGCGGCCGGAGTGTCTGATCGTGCTGCTGGGACACTCGGCGTCCCCCTGCGTGACGGACGCGCAGGGCAACACCCCCCTGGACAGCCTCCTGGCGCAGATCGGCCGGGGCGCGCCGGACCCGCGGCTCCAGCGCCTCTGCCTCGGCTACCTCATCCTGTTCCTGCCCGAGCTGCGCTGCAAGGCGCGGCGCCAGCTGCAGGAGAACGCCGGGCGGTGGCGGGCGCGGCTCGGGGAGCAGGCGTTCCAGTGGCTGTCCGGCTCGGCGCCCACCTCCCTGTTTGTCCGGGCCATGCAGGCGCTCATCCATTCCGCTCCCCCGGAGCACCTAGACTCCCTGCCGCTGCCCGACTTTCTGAAACCTTTGGACTTCAGGCTGCAGTAAATCGTGGGAATCTCAAAGACTTTTTTTTTAAAAAGAAACAAAAAAACCGTGTACGGGTATCAGAAACTGTAAGAAGCCGAGTTCTGGCTTGACTTGTGGTTGGGTTTGACTGTAAATAAGGAACTAACCTGTATTATTTATTTTAAAGGCACAACCAAACCTATGCACAATAGTCTTCTACACAGCCTTTGTACCTGTGATAGCTAGCAATAATGAATTGTCATTCACTTAATAAAAACGAAGGTCTTGAAATGAGCCTCTCTAGACTGGGGTGTTATTTTCCAAAAACAAAACAACAACTAAAGACCTACTGGTAAAGAGCTCACCGGCACGTCACAGCCAGTCCACATACTGTACTTCAGCGACTTTGTTTTGCGGTTCATATCTCGCATCTCACTCCCGCAAGCGACGGGAAGGACAAGCGTGCACTTTAAAGAACGACCAGAGCAAAGACAAGCGGCATCCCTCAGATATGTCCGGACATCGCTGTAAGAAAGGCGAGCTTAAACAAATACACAAAAAAAAAGCCCCGTGTAATATTTTCCAGAGGGAAGAACTCCATTCTGGGGGAGTCAGTCTTTGGCTCAGTCTTGAGTCACTGTTAAATGTCGCGGATGAGTTGTTCTACACTCCCAGCTGCCAGAAGAGAGGGTTCCCTAAATAAAGCTGACACGCTGTTGATTTCCAGCACGGTACCGAGACTCCTGTTCTCAGACGCACTCCCTCCGCCCACATGACACATCCACCACGGAGCTGTGCGCGTTGTCAGCGCTGGTTTTTATTTATATATATATAAAAAAGAAAATGCAACAAACAAGGGTGTACGCATACAGATGTCACGACATTACAGCACAGTTATTAACTGAATAACAAATCAGTTAAAACTTGTATCGACTGCACAGAGGTTGTGTGGTGTTAGGGGTCACATTAAATAAGTTCATATGCCAAAAGATTTTTGTAAACCAACTCGCCAAGCATATTTTTAAAACATGTTTAATGTATTTGAGATCGCTTTCATGGATTCGATTGTTTCAAAGCACGTAGGAGTTTTGTTTTTCCTCCACACGTGTTGCAGACCTGTCCCTGTGAAAGAAGCGCACTGGTGGAGAGGTGATAGTTGCTATGGGCGCACCGCACAGCCCGAGTGTTTTGCGGTGTTGCATTGGCTGTCATGGAAACTCCAGACTGGTCTGGACTGTCACAGTCCCTCTCCCCGGCACTGCACAGGTTCAGCTTTGTTACTGGAGAGAAACAGGAAACCCCTGCCTACCAGGTTTTGCATATTTCTTTGTAAGACGATGTGGCGAAGCCTGGAGGCATAGTGTACGTCGCTCGTAGTTCAGGGGCACCTGATTCTATAGTACCATAGTCACTAGCCTTCACCTCTCAGTTCGCATCCGAGAGGTGAGCCAACAGCAAAAAGCGGTATTCTTCTTTTCTTTTGCTTTGGTCAAAGAAGAAAAAGACCCAGAAAAATCCTGCTCATAAAACAAACACGGGGGATAGGAAACAACGCCAACTGAAACTTTTTAATTCGGTAAAAAAAAAGCTTAAAATCTTGTACATTTGATGTTTGGCCGTTCACCGGTCACCCGAGCGCCAGTGAAGTGGAACAAAACAGCTGCAAAACGAGTTTCGATTCTCCAGAACAGGGCGTGTTGGCGACACGAGCAGAGCGATAAATAACATCAGCTGAGGCACGAAGAACCAGGACTGGCAGTTTACCAAGTGACATTTAGCAGGCACCCTTAACATAGGACTCGCACTCCTGTAGATAACATTCCTCGACCCCTGCCTCCCCATTATGGCCATACCGCTACCGGGTCTTCTTTTTAAGGCTACAGAGCCTTCTTTATATATTTATACACACACACACGTGTATCCATAACATGCATATTATTTATGTGTTTTTAGGTTTAATATTTTTTTCTTGTACATCGCGAGTCCCTTTTTCCTAGAAACGAAGGAAGAGGCTTCTTCACTAAAGCGCTGGCGAAGGAAAGCGACAGCCCCAGAAAAGGGACTGACGGCTCAACAGCACGGCGACACCGAGAAACGGCGTTATTGCGGAGATCCGTCACAGCGCGGATCGAACAAAGTCAATCAAGCCCTTTCAGTCGCTGCCTCTCTAGTCGTGAAGCGGGCACACGGTCCCCGAGTGAGCGCGCGGTGTGGGAGCTGGTGCCGAGATCCACGCAGCAGCCTCCGCCTCAGCCTCAGGGCCGGCTGTCGGAGCGGGTCGAGGTGCGCGGTCCGGAACAAGCCACAGTGGACCGGCCGCCCAGCAGCTCCAGAGAAGACCTGTGGTTGGGCGCGCAACCCAGCACGCACGCACGCACACTGCCAATCGCACGATTAACAGAAAACAGCCCCCTGAGTCCGTCCACACCGGCTGAAACTGCCCCCGCTCCTAAGAAGACACGAGGCGCCACTCTTTCAGTTTCAGTCACTTTATTTATTTTTGTACTCCCACTCTTAAAAGCCAGAACAGGATCTAAAATACCAAAGCCATGTGGATGATCTTCACAGGATACCAGTCTCAGTACTCCATCCATTCGGTTTACAAGGATGACAAGAGGGTGCTTGGTCTCTCTGGGCCACACTCACATCCAAGGCCTCAGACAGTGAAAGCAGCTGAGAAGATCTTGGAGCGTGTGTGTGGAAGGGGACAGGTCATAGTGTGTACATTGAGAAGGAGTGTTAACTGAGGAAGAAAGGTAAAGAAAATGGGGGTCTTCTGAGCCCAACCCACAAAGCTTGGCCACATTTATTTCAGAAATCTATTTGTGAAACAAAAGGGATTTGTTTAAACTGATAACACAAAAGTCCCATAAAATTTTAAAATCATTACTACTTAATACCAGACCCGTGAAAATGAAGAGATACTTCACAAAAATTTCAGGACAAATTTTAAACACTTTCCACAACATCGTGTTTTTAAATCCAGCTCACTCCTACCTCTCCTTAATAAAGGAGAAAATCCAAGGAAAAAAAGTGAAGAGGTTTCATTCCCAGAGCTGCATCAGTGCAGACAGGACTTTGTCTGTAGTACTGGAAGCAGCAGATCTGCTCAAAAACAAACATCAACAATCTGTATGTCCCGCTCACCAATCACAGCTAGTTTAAGTTAAGTTTGACACGTGTGTGTTACAAGTTCAAAATTATAGGTATTCATTATAAAACCAATTAAATATGAAACGTACAGTTATCATCAAACTACAGTATATACATTAGTGTAATAGGAAACGAGTAAACCAGTACACTTATTTTATCTGTTTTCATTATGCTTACATTATTTCCCTTCATGTTGTCATTAATACAAGAGTACAGTACTTATGGAAAAACAGAAAGTGGATATATCTAATATTATTGACACCGACGTACAGAGTGCAAGATGAAAAGTCAAGTGTTTGCATCTTTCTTGCTAAAGTGCACAAAGTAAGGCTTAGGCAAAAGAATAACAGATTAGACAAGCTTATAAACTGTGTTTTATAGGACCAATAGATGTGAATAATTGTTGTTCACTCTATTATGCAGACGAATATGCAGAAAGGTGCAAAATAGATTTCCTCTGTTCCTAAGAGCTCAGTATTAGATGCATTGATGAAATAAGGCAGTGCATTCATCATTATGTCCCCTGCAGGTCCAGTGTGTTACCTTATATCGGAGCTTTTTCTTACAGCACAGGCAGTCTCCCCTGCAGAACATTAAATCACTGGTTTCTCACAGGTGAGTCCAGTCATCCGAAGAGATTGAAGGAAAATGCAGGGGAAGACAGCTCTGTGCAAGCGCCCAGTGTGGTGAATATATATGCATATAGGTTCATTCCCAAGATTATTCAAATCAACCTTACAAGTTTCTAAAATATGCTCTGGGTTGTTTTATACTGTTTGGATCACGCTGTTTTAAAAATATTTTTGAAAGCTGGCAAAAGCATTACAACTAGCTAAAAGGCAAAGAAAGGTTAAACCTGCGAAAACACAAGTGAAAGATGCGCACAGAAACGGGAGGAGTGGAAGTGGTGAGTGTGAAGACTGTTAAGATAGAATCAGTGAAGCTGTAGCAATGAATTTCACAACAGCCTCCCTGTGTGGCAGGCAAGTGTCCTGAACAGTACAGAATACATGTGCAATCAGCATTCTTGTGATTAACTCATAACTCCACAGGTCCGCACAGCCAACAGTACCACTAGCAGCACGCACAGTTAATAAAAGATACCAGAAGTTAATTTATATACATATATAAAAAGAGAACGTAAAATCCAAACATATTAATAAATTAGAGGCCGATGAACCTTTTCAGTATACAGAAGAGTAAGGATGCCTGGACCTCCAGGTGCCCGTGGGGTCTCTAGATGACCTCCCACTCGTCCTCTGGATCGTCGCCATTCAGCGACGATGAGGCCATGCTGACCTTTGACCTGCTGTTGCTGTGGCAGAAGGCCTTGGTCAGTCGGCGAATCAGAGAGCCGGTCATGCCCACTGCCCACAGCTCGTCCACTGGGGTGACTGTAGAGGAACACAAGGCCCGGTGTTGAAGTTACTGCGTGTTCAGGGGTGGAGACATTTCAGTAGCTCTCGCTGTGCAAGTAGTGCATTCAGGCAAGCAGCTCTAAATCTGCCGAAAACCCTTTCTGATATCTGTTTTCTTCAGCTGGAGGATCTTCACTATACAAAACTCAACTGAAAAAGGCAAAGGGGGGGGGATGTTTGTGACATTTTTTAGCTTTTACATCCTTTATGTGTTAAGACTTGACAAGTGTGTCTCAACAAGCTTTCCCACTACACGTTTTAGTACATCCTTTCAGCTGTTGTGCATTTACGCCTCATACAGATCCAGGAAAATACTGTCCCAGTAAAGAAAGATGGGGAAACGGTGAAAACGTTCAAAAATGGACTTCAAAAACATTGCTTAGCTCACCTGTTAAACAGCTGACCAGGCCTGGTATTTTCTTCCAGTAGTCTCCTGCTGGGTTCTTCTCTGTGATGCCATATCTACGGGCTACATCTCCATTGGGGCAACGCACCCACACAGTCCTGGCACTCACTGCTAACTGCCACGCCTGCAGGCCTGTGAAAGCACGAGAGGAATGCCACAGTGCAATCAGGCTCCACGTATTACACCTCCAGAAGCAGCTGTCTTGTTTACTGTAGTAAGCCTGCACCTATTAATGCCAACTTAACATTTATCTCTAAATGCACTCCAAATTTTAACTACTGGCTAACAACACTTTCTTTTCCATCTAAAAACTGGAAGCATGCTTTAGATCTGCATATATGTTTCTCCTTTCTGCAGATCGTTCCTGGAAGGCTCGCTCCCCCTGTCCAGCAAAATTACCTGGGACATGCTCCCAGTCTGTTCCCACCGGCATCTCCTCTGTAATCCCAGTCCGGACGTGCACGTATCCTCGGCTGTCCACTGCCCACAGCATCCTGTCGTTGGGACTGGTGTACACGCTCACCAGGTGCACCCCCACCGGCTGCAAGACCAACAAGCGCGAGACATTTACTGCCCGCAGGTCACCCATTCCAAGATATCCAGCAGTCAAAACATCTGCATCAAACTGCAATACACACTGCCTAGAAAAAAACACGTATTAGTCCCTTAGAGTTGAGATATTGTACAGTATTGGAAATAATGATGGAAACAGTGGGGAAAAAAGTGGGCACAGTATGTCATGAAAATTATGCTCCACGGCTTAAACAGCTACAGCGTAATAATTAACAATGTAATTATTACTTCCTTATACAGTACTATACTGACGTCCCACAATGGAGCTGGTGATGAAACCCATCCGAAAGTGTTCCAAGTGCCATTGCTCTTGCTCAGAAGCCATTCCTGAACGAAGAAAGGAAACCAAAAGGATGAAGTAAGGGTTTCCAAGCAGCTCCACGGCCACTGAGACCTGTGCTGATGTGTACATGTTACAGTTTCCAAAGAAATGCTAACACCTGTATGTGCAAGTCCCGACAGGTTCGCTACTGGATTGTCACCTACCACCTGAAACTACACAGACTGATGAACTGTCAGTTTTGGAGTGTTTTTCTTGATCAATCCAATACAGCCTTACATATAGTACTTAGTAAAAACTGGACAGTCCAGCGATAAAAAAGTCCCAGTGTTTACCTCTTATTCCAATGTCTACAATGGCAACTATTTATTTATACGGACATCTGTCCTGAGGTGACGTGGCAGTTTCTGATGGGTTGACATTGTAGCATTTCACAATAATACTGCATTTAATAACAAATAAATAATCCATTCACTTCTATAGTGCTTTTCTAGACACTCCACTCAAAGCGCTTTACAGGTAATGGGGATCCCCTCCACCACCACCAGTGTGCAGCCCCACCTGGATGATGCGACGGCAGCCATAGTGCGCCAGAACGCTCACCACACATCAGCTATCAGTGGGGAGGAGAGCAGAGTAATGAAGCCAGTTCATAAATGGAGGTTTTTAGAAGGCCATGATTGGTAAAGTCCAGGGGGAAATTTGGCCAGGATATCGAGGTTAAAAATCTCAGGGTGTTTCTTGAAAAGGGATGGGTTGTTAATGTCCCCAGGGAGTCAGGACCTTGGTCTTACATTTCATCACAAGGATGGCGTCTTTTTAAGAGGGAAAACTAAGAGTTACTATGAAATACTCTGACATGGAACAATGTAACACTTTCAAGTTACATCAGTTGCTTCTGACAATTTAATATTAGACATAAACCTTGCAAAAATCGATCCATTGTATACACGTTAGCCTTCAACAAGCCTGGGAGAATGTGAGTTGCCTCAGTGGGAAGGGAATCAGACTCAGGGCTGGTGCTGGACAGGAGCAGAGTGGGAGTGACATCACAGAGGCCCCCAGTTTGTCAACACAGAGGAAACACATCTTCGGGAGGATTGCTCTGCCACATGTGGTTTCTGACAGCCGGGGAAATGTTCCAAGTGCTTACAGGAGCTCACAATCAAATGAGAATAGCTATGACAACCTTCTGACAAGCTTGAGGAGAATTATAGGTTTAAATAATTGTAAAACAGTTGGTTTGGAGTTAAAGCATTCGCAGTGCTAAAGCATTATCATGACTTGTCCTGGACTCCGTAGTCAATTTATGTGACGGTTTGTGATTTAAGATTTGGTTCCTTCGTCATTTAATGACATATCACAATGAAATAGTAATCATAAGCGAACGATATCCGAGCCGAAACATTGTCTGCGCAGGACAGCTGCTGTCAAACAGCACGCTTTAATGAGGGCATATATATTTCAGAAATGGACACATTTGTAATTCGTTAAACCAGCCCTACCAAAAAACTCCTCAGTGCCCAGGATCTTAATTTGACTTCTGGATGCTAAAGAGCGGACCAGCAGATAATAACCCCCAAACTCCTGGCACAATAAGGAACACGCAAAATGAAATCCTAGGTTCAGCAAAGAGAAACTAAAGTCATTTCATATTCATGGAGATTCTGTATCACTGGATATCGAAGATGCCGTAAATAGCTTCATTAGCAGGAGCACAATGCGAAGGAACACATTCTCCTTAACAACAGCAAGAAACTGATGAGTAAGAAGCAAACAGGGGGTAGGGGGCAGAGAAATGCTCTATAAAATGTGAATACAATTTAAAAAGAGGCGCCCCAATAATTCTGAAAACTCTGAATAGTCCATCACACCTCTGTGCTCTGTGGCAGGCCAGCTAGAAGGCACTTGGGCCACACACAGCTGGAAGAGCACACCCACCTTCCGTAACTGAATGATAGTTATAACGTGATGTAATGCAACAGAAAAGAAACAATGAAAAATGCACATGGAGAACAGCAGCAGCAGCAGCCAAAAACATAAATAAATCAGAAACGAATGATGGGAACAATGTAGGAGTATTACAATAATGACACAAATAAGACACCGGGTCAAGAAAAACATCCCCTTGTGTTGTCCTGGAAATAGCAACAAACCAACAGAAAAGTCCAGGTTTGCATGCATGACAAATACAGGACCTGATCTGTGGATCACAACGCCTGCCACCGAGCTGAGGAACACACATCGCCGTGGTGTGCACTGCTGGGTCTAAAGGAGTCGCAGCAACTTTCTCAAACTGACTCCTGGGTCGGGGCGAATTAAAAGAGGATTCATGTGGTCTGTAAACGAACCCTCAGGACAGGAAAATCATAATGAGCATCTTGCCATAGTAAGAGGGTTCGTATGAGACGGATTTCAGAAGTAGAATTTAATCATGTAACAGACCTGAGGTGTCTTATTCCGGGGAAAAAAATACCATATTTTGTAAATAAAAATGCAAGAAACATGTCGTTGAACTCTGTTTCAAAGTAAAACACTTGAGTAAATTAAAAAAGCTAAAATTACATCAGATGAAATCTCAGCTTTTCCATTAGTATTATAGTATAACTGACGTCTGATAAGGGTGAAATCGATTTTTTTTTTTTACACGCAAAGCAAATGTATGGTATTAAATTTATAAATGCTTAGAAATGCAGAAAATCCTCATAGCTTGGAAGTATTAAAAATATTTTTAAAATGACAGTTCCTCACGAGGAAAATAAAGACGCTACAAAGGGACAGGAAACAGGAAACGCAATGGAAACGAAAGGCCCCGTTCAAAGGTATTCTTGTTAAAATCAGTACTTCTCTTTTCCTTTTGTGAAATATTTTTCCCGAGCCGTGGCTCCCTGGGTTCAATCGATCAGCCCCCCCCCCAACACGACAGGCACACGCGTTCAGGAGCCGCCGGCTGCGAAAGAGGAATGCGATCAGGGCCGTATCTTTCGACCACACCCGTGGGCGCTGGCACTGGCGCAGGGGAGCACAGCTTTCATTTCTGTACAAAAGAAACCTAAACCTAGCAGGCCGGAAATAAGCCCCAACTTGCTGTGCGGTGTTAATCACACAGCACAAGCTAGAGGATTAAAGCTCAGTATTTTAAAAGACACTTATGGGAGAAAAGCTCATTATTACTGGGAAACCTTATTTTTACTGTATCCAGAGCAGGACTCTTGCCGACTCCATAAGGGCAGCAAAAATACATGCTCCGCTGTACCTATAGTTTATTTTGCAGAAGACAAAAACACACACAGACGGAATGAACCTCCTGAAACAGGACCCTCTAACCTACTGCCTACCTGTCAGGCAGGGGAAATGCAGGACTGAGCTTCCCTGAAGTTACAGATCTCGGCTGTATCTAGAGTTATTTCCAGTACACTTGTATCAAAACCCTAGTCAATCCACTATACCATGGGGGCTTCAAATAACCAACATCATTTTCTTCCTGTACTTCGCCAGAACAGAACTAATGTGAAAAAAAACAACATGTGATCCAGGCAGCTATTTCTATTCCACTATTAGGAAACAACTCTTGCGTATTTTCTGTGCATGGCACAATTTAAATTTTTGTTTCATGTTCCCATGCTTTAGACTTGGTGTCATTGTGTATTAGCATTATTCTTTACCCGGTTGCATATTTGGGCACATGTTCAGTAAGTTACATGCCACAGAGCTGAGTCATAATGTCCAGCAAGACTGTCATTGTGTATTAGCATTATTCTTTACCCGGTTGCATATTTGGGCACATGTTCAGTAAGTTACATGCCACAGAGCTGAGTCATAATGTCCAGCAAGACTGTCATTGCACAGTGGTGAAAAACATGTTGCCGAGCTCATTTAGGGAGAAGAGAGAGCCCATGCTTACCTGCTCAGGGGGTTCAATGCTGATCCAGGCAGGCAGCATCATGCTGGGGTTGAGGGGCTGGGTTCCCACCCGGAAGTAGACCATCCCATTGGCATCACAGGCCCATACATTCTGACTGCCACAGGAGAGGCTGGACAGCTTCACCCTGCCTGCAAACAGGAAGCACAACACCTGAGCACCACCGTAACAAAGTGTGCACATACAGCATGCAGACCTGCCATATTTAAAAGAGGATCCTCAGCGCAAACACAGTGTGGTGTGCATCAAAACACAGCCTGTGCCTTGAGCATCATGTTGAGCCAGAAGCCGACTCTTCTGCAGCAGGTTGGTATTAATAGTAAATACACAGATGTGGGAATACTGGACCATTCCACTATGTCTGGTCCCAGTCCTTCAGGTACAGCAGGGCTCTGAATTCATGCATTTCCAACATGCTGATTGTGCTGGTTGGGCTTGTGAGGCATTGCTACTTTATGAATATTTCCAGCCCATGATTACTCTCATCCCCAAGATTTGTCGAATTACTCTCGGTTCTGAGAGCTTAACAGTTCACACCAGAGTCCCTTCCCACTGCTGTGCCCTCATAAGTGATCCTTTATCTACTTTCTTTGTAGACAGCACAAACATCTTGTTTCCAAAGAACATATTTACATATGTGTACACAAAATACACATTCAAAATCTTTTTCCAGGAAGCTTAACTTAATATATATAGTATAAACTTTTGTATCTTCTTCTACCGATCCAAAGACTGCGATGAGCTTTATACATGAACTGTAAATTATGGGATGTCTCATTATGTGAAGTATAACTACTGGAATATGTGTTATTGAACCAGTGTAACCGCAACTTCATTCTTTTACAACACTTAAGCTGCGGGCTTTAGATACTACAACTATGCTGCTACAGGAAATTACAATAAGGCAGAATATTCATGATATGATATTTTGTTATTATTCTCAACAGAATGGGTGGCACAGTGGGAGGGTGATTAGTATGGCTGCCTCGTGGCACTGGGTTTAAGTCCAGACCTGGGGTGCTGTCTGTGTGGAGTTTGTATGTTCTGCCCTTGTTCATGTGGGTTTTCCTCCGGGCGCTCTGGTTTCCTCCCACAGTCCAAAAACAGTTAACTGGCTTCTGGGAGAATTGGTCCTGTTGTGAGTGTGTGAGTGTCTGCCCTTTAGATGGACCGGTGTCCCATCCAGGACCTGGGGGGCTATGACAGAAACTTCAGTCCCAGAGCCGCATGCCTTACTCCATATAGAAGCAATCTGATACAGTAAAAAAAATAATAATCAAAAATCAGTTCCAGCAATAAAAGTCTGTAACAGTCTGTGTGGCTTACGTAACACACCACAGCATCTGGCAACTGCAGTGTGCACGACTGTTCAACCACCTGGTTTGAACCAGGCGCTGCTGCGTGTTAAACTTCAATGTGAGAAACAGACTGGCAGGCCATGAGGTTAATGCTCTGGTGGCTATTTGGCTATTTCAGGAGGAACAACCGGTAAGTTTCTCAGTTGACATGCAACACCTAATGCCTGCAGAGCAAAGGGGCCGGATTCGATTCCAGTCCTCTGTAACTAATCAATACCTTGGGAACAGTTTGTCCTACTGCCTCCACAGGAAAAATTGTACCTCATTGCACAACACCTCTTGATCTTTTGCCTTTGAGCACAACACATATACATGCACACAGAAATACATTTTTTTTGTTAATAAAATAGTCATTTTACAGAGAGCTATCCAGAAAAGTTTGAGTTCTTTTTGATGATGTTCAGTCACTGTGTGTTGCACATCATCTGCACTCATCATTTGTAGCAGACTGGATTTTGTGCCATTGTTATGCTCAAAAGGACAAAGGGATTCCTTCTATGTAGTGCAGTTCCAAACACTGCAGTCTCACCCCTCCTCTTACAAAGTCAAGTCAAATCTATTAATAGGAGTTTCCACTGCAACACAGTACATTCTGCAGGGGCTCAGCTGAAAGCGTTAAACGCCCCCTCCGACACATGCACAAAAATGCAAGACAAATGCACAAAGCAGCACATCGGCACACACAGAGAAGGAATGCATATGCAGACAGACTCGGCCACTTGTGTAGGGACAAGCCACTTCACCCTCCCACTCACGCACATACAGTATTCACACACAATCCCTCCGTTTCCGTCTCTCAGAGCTTCAGGGTCAGACATCCAGGTAGAACAGCTACAATCACATCACTGTAAACATGATCCCTGTTCTCAGAAGTGGCTGCAGGCTCTGTGCGCCTTAGAAGGCTATCGGCTTTTATCTCAAGCAGACAAGAGTGTGCCGGTCAAACAGGTCATTGGTTGAACAGACATAAGAAACGAAGACTGCAATTCCTGCCAGAAGCATCGGCTGGGATACGAGTTTGTTAAACAGTGCAGCATTAAAGATGCGAGCTTAATTAGAACTCTCAATGTCAAGGCAGACCTTTATAACAGACAGAAGCCATCCACAGCTACAGCAGGCAGCTGACTTAAGGAACCCTAACATGTTTCTGAAAACAGCAACTTTGAATCTTTGCAAAAGATTGTATCCTTGTCAAAGACTGAGTCAACAATCATGTTCAGATCACAACAATTGCGTTTTCAATCCTTTAGGCCTCCATAACAATGTATTAAAACTGACACTGTGCCAGTTAACAGAAAGACAGTGCTGCGGCTGTCATTTAATTTTCCTCTACATTAGTTCTCTCCCTCAGGTGGGACTCCCCAATTAAAATTTTTACTTTCCTTCAAAACTGATTGATCAGAAGTGACACAGAGTAGCACTGCCAAACCCTCAAGGGCTTTAGTCTAGCAGGGTTTCTCGATTGTTAGAATTCTAATTTGAAATCAACGTAAAACACTGGAACTGTGAAAAATCACTGTGGTCCAAATACACCTCAGATGGTTTTGCTGCCAAGGCATTAAGCCACTGATAATTTTTGCAGAAAAACGTGATGGGTTCTGATCCTCCAGGAAATGATTTGCTGGCCCATGATTCATGGCAACAGTGTGATGAAGAACTTGCTGTCTAGCAAGAACTTTCTTTATACCTGATGATCCCATATAGCAGGGGATAGAGACCAGCCAAACACAGGGTAGCGCTGTCCAGCTCATAGTCTCTGCCAGGTGCTGTGGTGACCTTTGCACCTCACATGGGTTTAATGAAACCAACACAATTGTTTTTCTGCGAGTATCTCAAACATTGGACTGGCTCAACTGGAACTGAAAATCTTTGCATGACTCACTTTTCTTCATAGAGCTGGTTTTATTGAGACGAGCTTCAAAGGCGTTTGGGAACACTGCCTAAGCTGGTGTACTGCACTGAACAGCAAGGCCTGCTGAAACAGCGGGGGAGAGAATTATTTCCCTAGATGAAGGGGGTTTCTTACAAAGGCATGTTGCTTGGAGAGCAAAGATAAGCCGTTGTTTCACACTTCAGCCCGAAGAACTGAAATCCCTTTGAGAGTCAAGTGCGTGCTCTCTCAAAACCACAAGAGCTTGTGAGTAATTTAATTGCACTCAGAAACATATTTCAACCTGGATAGCCTAATCAGTCTCATTCTATCTGGGACAGGTACTGAGAGATTTCGGAAAGCGATTCTGGTGACTCGTGAATTAATTTACCTGGGACTCTGTGGGGCTTGAGGCCAGCAGGATTTTCAATTACAAAATCTCCAAGCACTTTAGTGTGTGGTTTCTCTGTATTCCAGCTCGATTTCTTACAGTCTGATGGATGTAGTTTATTCTTCATAAATTAACCTTTGAGCAACAAGGTACACGTAATCAAAATTAAACAGGAACACAAAAGCAATTGAAAGGAAAGGTATGCCCAAACATCAGCAAGGCATGCCAAATTGAACACGCTATCATTATTTTAATCCTCATCATGAGGAAGTTCCCCGAGCTTCCAGAGAAGTTAGTCACTAGATACTCCAGCACACTGCAGTTTATAGATTGAGTTCTGCATAGAAGAAGTGGTAAACAAGTTCAAGTACTGAACAGTAACTGAAGAGAGCTTTGCAGGGCAAAACACAGAAATGAATCTCCAAGTGAGTATCCGTCTTGTACAGTTATGCAATCCTGGATGGGCCGATCATTTGCTTATGAGATAGGGCTTAAAACAGGTTTAAAAACTCAGCTGCTATCAATCCCCCAGTTGTCACCACGATAGCAATCATCACAGTAAGCAGTCAGCTTTAAGACTTGCATAGGACATTACCTGTGCAGCCCCCCGCTACAAAACACATGAAATGGATTAGCAAACAAATGCAGTTACAAATACAGGATATGCACAGGAAGCATATATTAAACTCTAGGCATATATATTAAAAAGTATGCTTCTATGCTAACAGATCATTCTTCATTTAACTTCAGTTGGTTGCTAGCAATTCAGCTGACACAGAAAGTAGAGGTCTTATAATTTACCCTACGGATGTGCTTCCGTTTCTGTCTTCTTTGGTACCAGAATTTATTGTTCTGCTATTCTACAGAGTGGAGAACCCCTGGGTGTACCCGTCACGAGGCCCAGGCTGCTTTGCCAAGCTGTGTCGATGTGCCAGCGCTCCGCAGCTTGTACCCCACGGTGTCGGATATCACCCACTCTGCTCATTCCTGCGCCCGCCCCCTGACCTTCTCCCGCCTGCCCCACAACAACCTGCGTGTAACCCGGCATCCCAGATATCCATTACGTAAGCAGACCAAGTGCGTCAAAAAATAAATCTCTCCTCAGTCCCCCCCCGGTGAGGTGTGTGTGGGGGGTATTGAATTCTCTACAGTCCTCTTGGTCTGGCATGGGGACAAGATCATTCTCACAACGGCTGACTTTGCGGACTTCAGAGTCCTCATCAACAACATAACTCTGCTTTGGGCTGAGCTCTCAGGGTTAGTCATTTGCAGCGCCATTCCTGAATATCCACCCCCCCACCACCCCCTGACTTATGTTTATGGAAAGCAGAAACAACTTTTAGATCAAAGCGTTTAGAACTTTAGATTGCTTTACATTTTGATCGGAAAAGGTGTACCCTAATGCAGGAGGTTTAATCAGTAGAATGTTTCATCACATGGGCCATTAATCACAAACACCCTGATCTTCTTTAATCGGTGCCTTCAAGGGGATGTGCCAGAGTCAGGTTAGTAACTCTGGAGCTACTAACCTTCAAAAGCAGGTCAGACCACTGGAGTAATGCAATACACTAGGAGGTGCATCAGAAGGACGGCACTTGGAACCTGAACAGAGCTGCAGAATGCACTTTCAAGATGTGCACCAGTCCTGAACGCTACCTGGAAGACACACTGACAATTCTAAAAACACCTCCTGCCTTACATAGAGGAACTCGAGATCCACAGTAACACCTGTCACCTATCTAAAAGTATAGAAAACGGTCTCGGGAGCAGGTAGGAGAATGTTGGGCATACACAACAACTTTCTATTCTCTCTCAGCTTCACATAAGCTTTCCCTTTCCATGCCTTTCTTTTCTTTTTTCAGAAAGTAGGTATGATGACAATAGGCCCATGGAGCATCTCGCCAACCTGTTTCACTTTTTAAAGGTCAGTGAAGAAGAAAAACAAAAAGCCAAAGTTGATCTTTTTATTTTTTTACTTCTTTAACATTTTCCCTACTTTTGCACAATTACTGCCCCTCACTCCTCAGTTATGGAATCTAGATATTGTAAACAGGGATATTATCAAGCCACTTCATCACCCAGATGCATATATTTTTGCAGCTGAAAACATCTGCAGTCACACCGCAGACTTTGGAAGAGCCCGTGGTTCATTAGTGAACAGGTAGATCTTGCAGGCTGAACCCTAATCAAAGCGGGGCTGCAGCAACTAGAGGCGATGAATGAAAATGAGTCTGGCAATTTATGAGAGAAACAAATGAGCTAATGACTATTGCAACTCACAGCCTCTTCCTAACTTTTAGAAAACTGTAAAACAAAGCTAAATAAGTAATAACTATGTATTACTTAAAACTGAATGCTTGCATTTGTGATATTTTAAAGCACGAGCAAACAAAAACAGTTGTGTGAAGGAATCAGAATTTCAAGTAATTGAAAGCAACAAATAATTTTTCTGCAGTAAAACCTTCAGACATTGTTCAAATATTTTTAAAAATCTCATTAGCATCCATAACCCATATGGAATATGGCAAGCCTGCTCTTATCTGCAGAGTTCAGAGGGATTGCTTCAACACGCAGTATACAGCTCCCTCAAAGCTGTAAAACTGTGGTCAGTGGCACATGAAGGAGCATTGTTTCGCTCATAATGTCCATCTTTGAGCTTCATCGATGGGTAATGTCATTGGCTTTCAATACAATCCACTGCAAATGGTACTAGGAGAACAGCTCCTAGCTCCATACAGGATGCAACAAGGCACATTTCCTTAATATACGCTATGTACTGTACCTTCCCTGATTTTCTACACCTGTTTATGCCTGGGCAGCTCAGTTGTCTTGCACTGCATATTTTATCAGGAGTTATGTTTCACAAGTTGGCTTCCCAAGCGCAAAATTCACTAACAAAGCTCACTCACCAGTTGTGAAGAAAGGAGGAAAGACTGCACTACCCATACGAGGAGTTTGTTTTTTCTGTTTTTTTTTTTTTAATTTTAGGTATATGCTGAGAAGTGCTGATTTATTTATTTGTTTTTTTTTTTACATATTTGTTTCACATTATCAGAGGGGTTATGGTTCTCATCCAGAGCAAGCTCCTTCCGTGTAGGACAGAGAAACGAGTCCATCCATTTGTCTGTGCCTCAGCTGGAGAGTAGCGCTCACAGTGCAGACTCCACCGGTGAATCAGCAGCCTAATTTTCCACAATCACTTGCTGCTGTGTTTTATTTGAAAACAGCAAAAAAAATCCTTTCCTATCTAAAACTGCAGTGTGGTATTAAGAACACAGAATGGCTTTTTTAACACTAAGGAATCCTGATTGTGCCCACGAAGGACCCTTTCTCGGGCATCTGGTATCAAAGGTTCAGACAGAGTACATGCATTGCGCGCACACTGTACAGACATTTGCCGTGCAAGACGCTGTGGTGAAGACAAACAGAAACAGCAACAAGACACACCCTTATGGCGGTTTTGCTTCATGTGATTCAATACTAAGAAGCGCCTCGGTTCTACAAAACTGTTTTTGCAACTGCTTTTCAAAATCTGTGCAACAAGCGGCATTAAGGGAAGGTTTTGAGGTTGATCTCTTGGCATCTCTCTTGCACTTTAATGAAACAAAATGATTAAAACGGAAAACCACTAAACACAGAAGATCTCGGTCATATTTGCTCTTTTATTATGCTCCAATGTGTTTGTTTTTTGACCCTTCCTTCGACCTCACAGGTATTATTAGAGCAAATGTTTTGCGGAGACATGAAACAAACAGGGAAGCGAAAAGGCTTCTCCTTACCAAGCTGGCTGAGGTCCAGGGGGGTCCAGTGCATGCCAGTGGGGCAGCTCTTGGAGAGGGTACGGATGTAGACACGCCCCCTTGTGTCCAGACCCCACACAGCATCCTGGCAGGCTGACAGATGCACCATTTCCACTTCGGGGGGGAGCTGCACAGTCGAGGGCCGGAACTGTGGGCACTGGTCGCTAATACAGAAGAGGTCTTTGCAGCTCTGGCCCAACCACAGAAAACTCCCTACAACAATGAACGAGGTTATCAAAGGACACATCAGCAGACAGGACTCTGCACTGCGCTGCAGGCTTACTTAACAAACCACCCAACCACCGAGTGAAGTTCAGGCAGTTAAATAACAAGGGTAATGATGAAGCCCAAACTTAAAGGTCACACCAGTACAGAAAGCATATGAACCGAATCTGGGCGGCAGAACTGAGGTGCACAGAGGAGTCAGACATGAATTGTGGCCTATAACACGAGCATTTCTTACTTTTTTAAACCAAAATAAATATTTGGGCCTTAAAGACTTAAATAAGGACCGACGCACAGTCACCTTCTTTAGTCGGAGCCGACGACGCAATCACAAAGGCCCACTTGGCTGCCGACGCAGTTCCACGTGGCACCACGTTGGCCCAATAGGTGCCTGCAGGATCACAAATGGAAAGGGTTAATGTCCTGCACACTGCGGACTTTTCCTTTTCATTCGCACCTCTCAAACAACTTTGCTTTTCATGCTGAACTTCGTCACGACTGACAAAACTAACAATAGTTGAAAGTTCCCGAAAAACCCCATTTTCCAAATTACTGCTACGCGGCGATGATATTTCCAATTGAGAACATTAGCTTTGAGTGAACATTAGCAATAATATAAGATGTGAACAATTGTAAAACTTCAGAGGTAAGCTGTGGGAGTTTTCTGCTAGTTAATTCTCTCTGGTTTGGCAATTGTATTGTATAAGGATAAATGCAAAAGGAACTTATATGATTAATTCTATGAGTTCCTATTTAAATTTGACCTGTAGCATTTCATTAAAGACAGTAAGTATGATTTTCAAAGCATATATAAAAGCATTACAGCCAAAAAAATCATGATGAAATGAAGGCATGAATTATTCTTTCAGTGCCTCACACCACTTGCAGCAGGACTATTTAAGCTTGCTGAATATTGAACCACATGGCTCTCCCAATTTGCTCACTCACATTGTTAAACGTCCCTTCTTTAAACGACCCTACTAATTAGCATTCTACTAATTAAAGAGTTTGCTGTAGCAAACGTCTGCATTCCTGTTTCCCCACAGCACATTCCCACTTGCCTATGGTATAACCATGATCCTTCTGCATCAGGCCCTGCGTGATCCACGAGACCAAGCCACCAGTGTTTTATTGTAGCGGTGATCTTTAACCCGCGTCCCAGGCTGCTCCTTTAATGAGCGCGGGGCTTTAGGGCAACAGACAATGCAGGCTTCAGACAGGCTAAGCGGGTGAAACTGAAAGCCGCACCGATGAGGCTGCCCTTGGCCACGTGGAAGTCGTTCCTCCCAGAGGCGATCCAGACGCCGCTGCTGTTGACGCCGAGCAGGCTGGGCTGGCACTGGGGCTGCTGGGACCAGAAGGCCACGCGCAGGCGATCCGCCACCTTCTCCACTGGGGCCTGGGCCGCCGAGGCCACACTGTGCGTGGCCTGGATGATGGTCTGGAACAGGCTGCACTGGTCGAAGACCACGTAGTCCGTGATGCTCACCTAACGGGACACAGAAATAACTGCGTTATTTATTTCTGTCCCAGCTGGAGGGGTAGCGGCCAGATGGAGCTCTGGCACCCAAAACAATGTCACTCGGCTAGGGCAGGTTCTTGTAACCTGTAACCTCAGAGGTCTGAGGTCTAAAAGTCAGGCCGAGGTCAATCTCAATCTCTCAGTGTAGTGCCTGGACGCAAAAAGGCGCATACGACACACAGCTCCTATCTATCCACCTTTCTGCACTCGGGTTCACAGACAGAAGCTGCCCGACCATAAAGACTGTACTGCAGCCCGCAGTGCAAGGCCCTGGGCGTCCACCCACCTGCCACCAGTGATCGTCCTCCCCCTGTGGTTTCTGGGCCGTGATGCCCGTCCTGAACCACAGGTTCCCGCTTGTGTCCAGAGCCCAAGCGGTGTTGTGGTCTCCCAGGGCAATGCACACTGGCTCCAAGCCCTGGCTCTCACTGGGGGGGAGGAGAGACACACCGCTCAGGCACAACTTATGCATCCAACTACAACAGCTGCGATTCGCGTGAGCCCGAGAATGTTAATTCAAGCAACATGATACATACCAGGAAGTCCCCAATTATATTCCACCTTAATTACAGACGGCATATCAGAAATTCCTTTATAGGACTTAACATCTGTGGTAAACACATTAACACTGTTTTTTCAGAAAATAAAATACTAAAAAGATCATATTCAAACTAAAAAAAAAAAAAGATGTTAAATGCACCTAAAAACAACTCCGTATGAACTCAAGTAGGTAGCCGAGTCGGCATGTGTAGGCTGCAAAGGAGAACAATTTAAGGTTTATTCCATGCTGAAAAGAAAAGAGACAACATTTCGACTATGGAGCCTTCTTCAGGTTGTTCACACCTGTGAAGGCGGCTCCACAGCCGAAATGTTGGGTCTCTTTTCTTTTCAGCATGGAATAAACCTTTAATTGTTCCTTTGCTAACTAACTCTGTACGTCAACAGAAACCAGAACACAAATAAACTAAAACTGGCCCAATACTGAAGATACCATTGAGACACTACTGCACTATTTAAAACAATTTGAACATATAAACTTCAACTACTTCAAACTTGGCATTGAAAAAGCAGAATGACTGCTTTCCAATGATAAGAAGGAGACTCCCTTCTCCAGTCATTCAGCCCCCTATCTCTTGCTGTTCAAAGCTTTAAAAGTTGAGATAGAGCTCAAGGAGCACGAAAGCACAGTAATTCGCAGCTTCAGAATCCCTCTCTCGAACAGGGAGGGGGTGGGTTGAGGACCAAAAACCGCACTAAGCGGATTAAAAAGAGCTCAACGCCACACAAGCGCACAAAAACTCCCCAAAACAAGGCCTGTCGTACGTTGTGCAACAGGACTGTTACACCTTGTTTATAAAAGCAGACAAAAATGTTTTTCCCCAAAGGATATTTAAAATCATTACCATGAAAGAGAGAAGTTCTATAAAGTAGAATGAATCTCCTTTCATATTTTCGAGTCTTTAAAGCAGAGCTCCTGACCACTGCACTTTCTACCCAGTGACTAGAAAGGTGTGGGAACCCTGGATTGCAGCTTTCTCTCACCCAGCCAGGCCCAGCCAGGCCCAGCCAGGCCCAGCCAGGCCCAGCCAGGCCCAGCCAGGCCCAGCCAGGCCCACAGGAGGTTAAAGCATTGTGCATTGACGGGTACCTGACAGCGTCACATTTCCACTGCTCTCCTTCTGTGCAGAAGCTGCTGAGCCCCTCCCTGTAGAAGACACCTCGCTGCTCGGTCAGCGCCCACACCACGCTGCCCCGGGCTGTGATCTGGGTCAGAGGGCACGGGCAGTCCACCTTCACTGCCCGGGCACAGGGCCGGTCCACACTCAGGCCTGCGGAGGAGCAGCAGCACTGCGTCACCCTCGCCTCCTTGCATTTTGTGATGACATTAAAATGATTTAAAAATGACCTAACTGCACTGTAGTTTGTAAACGGAAGTAGTCTGGTTAAGGGGGATAAGCGTTTCAGGCCAAAGGCACCTTGGGATGTTTAGATACCTCTATAGGCTGCTCCATGCAGCAGCTGGGGACTGCAGTCTAGTCCCAGGTCACACAAAGGGAGATTTGTAAAGCCTTTACTGCTACTGAATGAAATTTGCACATGATTTTCTTATGTCAACTGAAGAGCTAAAATGGTGCAAATCAAGCACTGGACTACATATGAGAGGAAAGGTAAAGATGTGCGCTTGCCTGCACTCCTAAATAGCGTAAATTATTGGACTACAATGGACTACAATAAAAGCTAGTCCACACTATCCGAGGTGGAATTACGACCTACTGATTTGGGGGGCACTGCTTCATGAAACAGTGTAGAGCCTCTTTCTTGTACCAAATTATTTCCTGGTTTAAACTGTGCCGATCTGTCCCAGTGCTGTAGCTGGGGAAAGCTTCCTGTATTTAATTTGGGCGCACCCGAAGGATCTGGGGTTGGCAGGAACTCTTTAAACGCACTCATCCAGTGACTGACTTCATTACACACACCCACTGTGACCTGAAACTTAAAAAATCCCTTTCGAAGTACTGTACGTCAACACCAATTGTCAGTGATCCAAATGTCTGACCCACAATTAGTCATTAATCAAATATTTTTTGCAAATCACTACCTGATTTTCAAGAACAACTAGTTTTCTCTCTTTTTATTCCGAGTGACATGAAAGCACTGATCTTTAGGTCTAAAGTTTGAAAGGAAGTCTTTAGCACCGTCACCCCGAAAAGACACTGTGGGTTGTCCTGCTAAGTGTGTAACAGATTCCCAGAGAGGATTCCTCTCTCTTATAATATAGTACAAGATGGCAAAGTACAACTGAATCCCACGGCTGTACTGTCCTCAGAATTGACAAGTCAGTTGAGCTCTAGGGGCTGCAGGATGATTCAGTGGAGCTTGAGAGATTTGTATTGCAGAGCCTGGTCTTCTGCTTTGCTCTCTGACTCCGGGTTGCAAGCTTGAAAGGACAGCAGGCACAGAGAAGACTGGGTGCTGTTTCCGAGTGGCGTGTCAGCTCTCAGTATTAGCTTAGGGCTGGCATGACAGCAGAATTCATCCTGGAGCAGGAACAAGATGGAGGCCTCTGGGACTCCGTTCCTGGACCTGTTTGTCTTTGTTACATAATTAACAACGAACAGAGAGGGCTCAAGCAAATGCAGGATTATAAAACGACGCATCACACAGCTTAAACCTCCACCGGGGTCACCTGTGCTGTATCAGAGATTCTACGGCCCAAAACCCTTCTTTGTTAGATGAGAACCAGGTGCTGCTGCAGACCCACTTGATTTCCAGACGTACTGCTTCATAACTTTTTCCCGATGAATACACATCTTCACAAATATAAAGCAAACGACGAAAAACAGACATTCAGATTCCTGGAAAGGTGCGGGGAGTTTTATTACCATGCAGAGCAGTACTTCACCGTTTGAAATCTGGAGATTTGGAATTTAAGACAAATGGTGCTCTCTGCAGGTGAATATGAATAAAGATTCATACAGTATATTGCACATTCCAGATAACATACTGCAAAGTAAATTAAAATCAAGCACTATATTGTTATAGCAAGCAAAAAAAGAAAACCGCTATGGAAACCGTTCAGAGGAGAGAAACCAGATACACCCCTGTGTTCACAGGAATGTGCTACTCTGACAGGAAAAAAATATTGAAACTTTTTAGTCTTGAATAGAAGACCTGGTTAAAGTCTTCAAAATCTTAAAAAGACAGTCATTTGGATTTCTCTAGGACCAACTGTGAAACACAAACTAGAGGACTCAAATGGACATTTATTTAAAAAGGGAAAAAAAGCAAAGACTATTTTTCTTCTATACTTAACTAAAAGTTAGCTTTTAGTACAAAAATGCACAGAACAGTAATCATTAACTCCAGGCTATAGTCTCAATGCTGAGTTATCCCAAAATATCCACCAGTAAAGAAGTTCTTTCTTAATTTAATCAGTTCTGCCTCTGGGCTCATGTTTTATTAAAATAGTTATTACTCAAAACAGTTTACAATGTATTTCTCATATTAGCCTACTTTGTACTTTTCTCTTTATTTATGTGTCCTTTTAAAAATATTCATAACATTAAAACAATTAACTTTAAGAGTAACAGAGATAAATATTGATCAAATTTTTTTTCTTAAATGTAACAAAGAGATAATAATGCCTGAAATTAACTTTGCACATCTATAAATTCATTCTCCTTAAGCGTATTAGCAGAGACTTTGTTGTATGAGAATATCAGGAGCAGTTTTATAAGTTCAAAGCATCTGTTATATGAAAATGGTATCTTTTGAACTTTGTGTGCTTGCTGGCTATCCAACATTATTTTACAAATGAACATGGCATGAGAAATAGTTGCAGAATGACCACCAAAATGCACTTTAATTTTGCATTTTGCAGCAATGTTAGATAATGCTTTTGAGATCTCTTTCATTTAATTTTTTTTATCTCCTTTGGATGAATGCCTTTAAATGATTTAAAAATCATTTAAAACTATGCAGTAAAAATATAATGTTCTGATACTTATTAAAATAAATACATGGAACTGTAGTATAAACATACAACGACTTAAAATAAGCATAAAGAAGTTTAATTTTTGAAATACTAAATGGATAATCTTTTTCTTATAGTGTCAGGATTACATAAACATAACTTAAGACATCAGACCAAAAGATGTCAACACAATATAGGGCACACTGCTGTGTAAAACCCAATCAAACTATGTAGTCATCCATTTGGGAGGGAGATAGTGAGTGAGGCAGTGAGAGGGCATCTGGGACTGACACACCTGTCTGCAGGTAGAGATCTCCATTGGTCCTGATGATCCAGGCTGTATCATCACTGAGAGCCACAAAGGCAGTCTGAGGGATGGCCTCATACCAGTGCCTCCTGCTCTTGATGGTCACCTTTCCACAGGCAAACGCCTTGTTAGTCTTCTGCTCCACCTTCCACAGCAAGGACCCTGAACCAGAGGGAAACAGCACCTCGCCATCAGCTTCTCTCCCTCTTGCTTCCCTCTCGCGCACAGATGCCAAGAAATTATTTTTAGGAGAACAAAATTTCAGGATCGCACAGAGAGGAAAAGATCAAAATATTAGTGAAGATGAAGCAAAAATGCCGGCTGACGCTCTGTGCTGAAACAGCAAGATGTGTAGACACCAGCGGTAGGAGATGGTGAAAAGAAGCACTCTTTTAATTAAAGCAATGCTGTTACTGGTTATTTTTCACTTAAAAAAGATCTTTTATGCCAAAAAAGCCTAGGTGTGAGTATGATTATATTATGCTCTGAAGCAACATTTTTTTCCTGTACATTTTACTTCTCTCTTATGGCGACTCATAAGAGCTACAAAACCACATACTGTAACGTTCTCCTAAGGGGCTGCACTGGAAGTAGTACCACAGTTCAATATAAGCCAGCTGTTAAATGCCACTTAAACTAAAGTACTGTTGAATTGACCACGTGCCGCTGAAAAATAATAGGAAAACATAAAAAAAATTATTGAACATTTTGGTTCATGTACTGAAAGATTTGTTGACATTTATAATATTGCTGTTTGTGTTTCATGATTATTTGGCGAGGAACGCATAAGAAATGAAATGACCCCTTTTTAAAAAAAGGCTACAGAACCAAAAGACGAAATTTGAAGGCAAAAATAAGAGCTTGACGACAGGTATAATGCTTTCGAATCAAAATGTCATCATGAATGTTGGTTGGCTTTCGCTGCTTTAAAAACTCAAGAGGAAAAAAAAACAACTCACTTAATTCCAAATGCTGTTGAAAAGAGCCTGTAGATTATATTATAATAAATCAAGCATACTCCTAACAACTCTCACCTGAAGGTGACACAGCCACCTGCTGGACACTGTCCTCAAATTTCTGCCAGCGCAGCCCGGCGCTGGGCAGGGGGCTGCAGTACAGCACGCCTTTGAAGTCCAGACACCATATATATTTCTCAGACACCACCAGGCTCAGGATCCCATAGCCCGGGCCGGAATAGCCCATCCAGCTCTCTGCAAACTGACACAGACAGTGAACACACAGCGGCAAGAGGCTTCTGCAGCGAGTCTTACAACACAGTGTGAAAACAGCTTCCCGGGCTGCCCGTGCTCAGGACAGGAGTAGACAGACGCGCGAATAGACAGCGGTGCTGTGTACTGTCAGGAAGGAAAGGCAGAGCTGGGCGGGACAATGGAAGCCCTTTTGAGGCATCTTTAAAAACATGACATCGGTGGTGGACTTGGGGTATGGGCTGAGCTGCACCTGCGCCACAGAGCTGGCTGCTCTGAATGTGTGCGCCTGTGCACAGTTAATCCCAGCAGCCAACAGCTGAGTTCGCTCAGCAGCTGTGACCTAACTGCAGCGGAGCACAGTGAAAAATCACCACACAGGACCGCATTCTTCTTTCCTTTCCTTACTCCTTATCTAACGTATCAGTGGGGCTAATATGGGGCAGAGACCCACCAGCCTGAAACAGTGACTTGGTCTTCACAGTCTCCTCCAGAGCCTCAACACCCACCCTGACAGGTGAAGCTAATATAAAGTCTCTGCGCTACATAATTAACGTAAGGAATAGATTTATTCATGTGTCACACATCACCCTGCTCCCACCAGCGTGCAGCACTTACATCTGTCTGAGCTGCTGCAGAAAAGCGGATATCCATGACCACTCTATATAACCATGCCTTGCCAGCTAAGCCTTCACAATCTATGCATTCTCTGCAGAAACCCCCCCCAAGGGAGCTATAGAAGAACAGCTATGGGTATAAATTTAAAAATGTTTCAGACAGCGTTTCTGCTTATAAATTCAAGGACCAACATCCATGACTTCGACAAAAGCACAGTTATCTCTTAATATTCTTGTATAATTGCATAATTATATAATTATATACATAATTGTATAATTAAACATATTCCATTTCACAGTAGTTAAGTATGCTAAAAAGAGGCTTACAGAGTTAAGTATTCTAGGTTACTACAGACAGCTCTTATCCACCAATTAAAAAAGTATCACTATTCCAACGATTAGCGAATATCTAACTTAACTTTGTTTGCAAAAGAACAAGTAAAGGTTTATTCCATGCTGAAAAGAGAAGTGTGCGGGTGAGTTTGCAAAAGCTATAGAACAGGCTAGTGCTATTCAGTTAAGATATTTTTTTCTGCTAATAAGTAAGGAACTTCAAAATATTAACCAGACTGTTTCCACCCCAATTATATTATTTCAGCAGAAATGCTTTTTATGATACCCATTATACCTGCTCTCTCTGGAGCAACAATGGAAGTATAAGTAAATTTTACCTGATCAGACTTGAAAAGGCTTGAATCCTCCAGATCTGATTTCGCTGCGTCTGAGCAGTGCCCATCGATGAGCCTCTGGAGGTTTGTGCCCAGTAAGGGCTGCTCCACCAGGCTGGCATCCGACGCTGAGTGCGGCACTGCGTGGGCATAGATATCCTCCTCGTCGCTGGAGATGCACTGCAGCCCTGCGTCTTGCCACTCTTGCTCTTGTGCTCTGGTGCTGAGCGTGGAGACGTGGCTTATGACATCGTGCAGAGCTGGGAAGGGGGTGACTAAGTTCTGATCAGATGCTTCCAGACTTCCACCAACACCCAGCAGCCCAAAATCATCCAAGGTGGAGAGATCATGTGTGTGGCTGGGTGGCACATGGGGTTCCGACTCATCCTTTTCTGACCTTACTAAGCCATCCTCCCCAGAAACGCGCTCAGCGCTGGCTTGCGTGTTCAGGCTGTTGCATTCAAGGAGAGCGTCGGCATCACAATCTGGAATCGAACCCCTGACCTTTGCACCTTGACCCGGAAGCGCATATCTGTTGCTTTCAGACTGCAAAGCTAGAGGGTCTTTCTGAGTGACTTCCTGGCCATCCGACTCCAGGAGGCGCGGGGAAGGAGGAGAGGAGCTTGGGGCCTTTGCAAGCGGCACGTCTGAAGTTTCACAGCTCTGAGGAACAGGCGCCTCCAGCCCCAGCACCTCCGCAGGGAGGTCACGGAGATCAGCGCTGGGCGGCTCCCCCAGCCGAGTGCACGTGACCTCAGGCGAGGTGAGGACCGCAAAGAGGTCGTGGCTGTGCGAGTCCCCGCTCACGGAGCCCTCCCGGTCAGGAGAGTCGGCGCTCTGAAGGTCCAGGCTGCTGCCCAGGAGGCTGGTGCGGTCCGAGAGCAGCTCACACACCGGCGTGGTGGTGCCATCGCTCACGGCGTCTTGGCTGAACACCCCCTCGGACCAGCTGCTGTGGTCCGAGAGCCTGTTCCCGCTGTCTGTCCAGCAAGGGGTAACACGGAATTAGTCATACAAAAAAACAGCACCTCGACAGGGGCGGGGATACGTTTTTCCCTACATTACTGAATCACCAAACCTACCTTGAAATCAATGCTTTATCTTAAAATTAAATTACAGAGATCCCTGCCATATTATAAGACTGGTCCTACTCTTTAGTGATGGTATATATGATAGAGAGCACCGGTACAAGTAGAAACACAAGTAGACACACACACAGCTGTGCATGATAGCTTGGTCTCGTGCATAACATGTTCACTTAATCTTAACAGTACTGTATGTGGACCAAAGGAGAACCAAACGATTCCCATAACATCTGCACTGCTCTTTCGGGAAGTCATCATTCCGATTTCACCACCAAATTCCGAAAAGCCTTGAAACTCCCCAGTTTGGGATCGTCTCTTAATATGATAAAAATGCTCATTAAAAGAGTAAAAAAAAAATCTTACCGTGCCTCTTTTTCTTCTTCTTCTTCCTGACTCTGATGGACTTAACCACCAGCTCTTGCTCAAAGTCCTCCGTGCTGACGGTGCTGAACCTGGTGGAGGAGCTCAGCCCCTCCACCGAGAGCTCAGAGGCAGACTGCTCCACCGCGGCCCCAAGCCCCAGGGCGCTGTCCCAGGACGTCACCGAGCTGCTTCGGCTGCGGGACTCGCTGGTCCCCGAGCCCCCCCTCAGCGGGGCCTCACTGGCCTGCTCCCTCTGTGGGGCACCCTTGGGGTCACCCAACGCCACCTCAATTTTCTCCAGCACTATCACCGCGTCCTGCTCCTTTCTCCCCCCCTCTCTCCTGCAGTCCTCCTCGCCGTCTGGTTGTGTGTCCCTGCTCTCCGCGATGATGGACATGGTTCTGATCGGCTGGGCAGTTTCTACGGCACCAGTGGGTTGGACCATCTGGGGTGCAGTGGCTGTAGGGGTACTCAGCCACAAGGGCACATCAGACGCTGGTGGACAGAGAATGTAAGAGACGCATAAAAGTATATACAAAAAGTACCATGAACTTTGTACTTATGTGTGACAACAAACAACGCAAAGGCATTCCATTCTGTTCTATTTGTCTCTGGTCTGAACACTCTGAATATTGAAATCCACAGTTTGACTGCGACTAAACTGCGGCAGTCTTACCGCTGGAAGCCAGGCCTTCGGGTCTGCTGGATATCCTGATGATGTCGCGGTCCCCCTTCAGAAGAAAGATCTCGTGGTCTGTGCATGACACGGACACGATGTCGCCGGACCCCTCCAGACCGCCGACGACAGCCTGTCAAATACGATGATGTTGAATTCGTTAATGCTTGCGGTCCCTTTAGCTAATGATATTTTGTTCATTTTGTTATGCTGGAAAATAAAAATTACACGATAGATTCAATCTTTTGAAACGGGTCCGGCACTGTTCTCTGTGTGTGTGTGTGTGTCTGGGCTCTGTCACCTGATTGAGGGAGTCCAGCACATAGATGCTGTACTCGTTCCAGCTCAGCACCCAGCCCTCCCGCAGGAAGCAGCTCAGCAGGCCCAGCTGTCTCTCTGCGGGCCGGTACCCCTCGGTGGCATGGCTGCCGGCGCGCGGAAACAGCTCGAAGGGCCTCACGCCCTCTGCGAACACGTCCTTCAGGATGTAGGTGGCCTGCACGCTGCCCTGCACGTCCGCCTTCCAGAGGCGCAGGCCTGGCCGGGCAGCGTAAACCACCAGGTCACTCTGCTTGCACAGGCCAGGGTGGAAGCAAGCCCCAAATTTACCATTGCTGGAGAAAAACACAAACGCAGCTTAGCGCTTCCGAGATCCGTACGCGGTGTGTGCAACCCTACTTTTGTCTTTTCGACAATCTGGAGTCTGCCCAGGCCTGGCCTGGCCTGAGAGATGTTCTTGAATCACTGGGAACCTCTCAGAGCCCCCAAGCTGCCCAGACCGCCTCTGATGCTCAATTCAACATTGCACACAGGTTATCAATCAAATCTCTACCAACACCTCGTCTTCCTGAAGATAACTGCTGGGAACACTGAGGAAACAGCCTTGATCACTGTGACTGAACACAGGGTCTTCACAAAAGGAATACCCCCCCCCATGCAATGGACTAAGCATTTTTCTTTCAAATATAACCAAGGTTACATGCCAATTAGCTACACCTTTCCACATGAGGCATGATATTAACATCTGTACTTTCTATACAGAAGGCCAGCCTATACTTCCTATCAATAAAACAGTTAGGAATCAACACAATAACTAGCATACTGCAGTTTTCTATAACTGCAAGCGCAACAAAGTCTGCGGTTTTGCAACCCACAATAAGTGTTAATTTTACTCAAGAATCCATACCCTTTCCTGGGCTTTGTTCCAACCTGCTGGACTGCCTTCTCTTCGGTGTAGAAGAGCAGGCTGTGCTGGTGTGTGGATACGAGCAGAACTTTCTGGCTGTACTCCAGCTGTACGATGGCAGACTGCTCCTCCAGCAGCACGCTGGGGTTGCACACACCCTGCACACGCAGAGGAGCCAGAGAGAGACAGGGCTCGATTAGGCATTAGGCGAGCCTGCACCAGGTGCCTACAGCAGAGCAGCACGCAGCATGCTCTGAAGGAATAAGAGGAGACAAACTGACCAGGCTTCATACACCCAGTGCTGTTTAAACAACCAGACTGGGATCAGCAAATGAACGGGAGCTGTACCTGGTCCAAATCGATGGCAGAATAGACAACTTTCCCTTTGTCATCCCCGGAGAACAATTTCATTCCGTTTGCACTCCAGGCCAGGGCTGTCACTGTGCTCTTGTGAAGTCCAACTACGTCAAAGCGCCGCAGCTGTGGGTCAGAGAGGGAAATCACAGGCACGCCGACGCAGCAGTGTCATGCCCACGAACACTGTGGGAACTCTCAAAGTCTTCAGCACACTGGTCCTTCAGAAAGGCTTATCCAGCTCACTTTCAATAAATGAATGCACACTATGCCAAATAATGTGGCAAATTAACCCAAACTCACATAAAAAAGCCACAAAAAGTTCAGAAGCACCATGAATGGTTAGTTGCATTGACCGTGTGTTCATTTCATTCCTCGCCTTGATTTCACGGCTCATATTTTAGCCTGTGGACCCAATTTGAAGAGATATACCCTTAATCATCGAATGAAGAGGCTAAGTTTTAAAAAAAAGAAACATGCATAAGAAGCCATGACTACTCCATGAAGAGTTACTGCAATCTTGAGATATAAACCTTCACGAACCAGCCCACATCATATTATTACCAAAAGGCACCTCAATTTAAAAGGGCAACATGATACAGACTAAAACTGTATCACTACTAAGCCAATGAGGCAACAACATACCCAAGAAGTAAAGTAAGATCAGTAAGATAACTAAAATCACTTTATTAGCCATATACAATTTCTTGCATTAGGAATTTCTCTTTTCACATACACCAGCTTCCCCTCCATGAGACAGACGGGGAGAGAGAAGATGGAGGTCAGAGCGCAGGGTCAGCCATTTATACGGCACCCCTGGAGCAGCTGGGGTTAAGGGCCTTGCTCAGGGTCCCAACGGAGTAGGATTCCTCTGCCAGCCGTGGGATTCGAACCGGCAACCTTCCAGCCACAGGCACAGATCCTTAGCCACAGTGCCTCCGCTCCGCCCAGCAACACTATACTCAGCATGCTTTGCACAGATATTACCATTTCAATTACCACTCTCTGTCATTCACTCATGACTGATGGAGAAGCCGGGGTGCTGAAGTGTTATTGAGCACTTGGCAGTGTACTGACCTGCTTGTTCCTCCCGGGAAGAGGAGAGACAAGCTGGAAGAGGGCCACTCTGCCCGAGGCCGTGCCCACTGCCACCAGGTCATCGAAACAGCTCAGGAGCTTCACGGAGGTGATGGCCTCGGTCTTGCCCTGCACGGACACGCCACCACACTAAGACAGTGGAAAGTAACCTCTCTCCTGTTCAAACTGCTTCACTACCCACGCGAGTCAGCATTACACCGATGCTATAATATGTAAGACACATAGGCTTGAAAACAACTGTCCATGGGACGCGTTTCCAAAGAGTGAAACTCTTAGCTCAATGAACTAATTAAAGGACTGGGGGAATGAGAACCGAAAGACCTTCAAGTCTCCTGGGCCTGTAGTTGAAAAAGCCCAGAGGGCCTGTGGCGTATGTAATCCCCAACCTGCTGTGAGAGAAAGCTTCAGTGCCCCCTAGTGGACAATCATAGGGAACAATTCAACAGCAGCAGATGTTCAGAGCCAACCTGGCCTCATGTCAATTTGATTTTTAAGTGCATTACTTGACAAGGTGCACCAACAGCTGACCAGCAGCCCAAAAAGAACTATTCCCTTTATAATTTAACACTTAGTCCCACTAAATCATTAATCTTCCAGTGGATACGCCAGTTTAACAATCTATGCAATACAGTACAAGTCATGGTCTGCAATACAGATGGACCTCACCTGCCGCACTTTGTGGGTGAGAGGGTTAGGTAGAGCCCAGGGAAGGGAATCTGTCACTTTGAAGACAAAGCAACGCAAAGTATTCAAACAAACGGGACGATCATAGTGCCGTCGGGACCTCTGGTAATTACACGCCCAGCGCGCCGTACCTCGAGGTTATACTTATTCATCTGGTTGAGCCGCCGGCAGTAGAGGTAGAGCATGCCAATGCTGCTGCCCACGGCGATGTAGTCACTGCTGGCATCCAGCGCGGTGAGGTAGACCAGCACCGAGCGAAACCCCCTCTGCACCTTGGCGGGGATGGTGTTCAGCAGGTAATAGAGGGGGCAGAACTCCTTCAGGGCGGCAGGCGAGGCCTGGGCAGCCATGGCGGGGGGTCAGGGTGGCGCCGGAGCAGACGCTGAGAGAGGGGCAGAGGAGGGCGAGAGGCTGGGAGGGAGTGCCGACACACACCTGATAAAGACAGACCTATATCTCGGTCGCAGAAGTCCACAAATTAGGTAATTGCTGTATTCACTCATTTCCAAAATCTTCTGTGAACGAATAACACAATTAAGAAACTCCTTGCATCCATTTATCTAGCAGAAATTAGACTTCATGAGGCTACTTGTCAGATATGCAACACTGCAGTCATGGGTTTCAATTACATTTGTGAGTGCTCAGATTGCAGCACTGAACAGTTCTGGTCCGTTCCCTGAAAAATAACAATCATCCCTGTTTATTCACAAACTACATGAACATCCCAGTTCATTCACTCCTTCGGGTTATTTACATCTAGACAAACAATAAAACAAATTCAGCATTGATTTATATATATATGTATTTTAAGACTTAATATTGTTCATACTATTACAGTTAAGTGAAAATGAAAATACAGTACCTTTATAAGGCAAAAGAACACAGATGTTGCACAGATTATTAATTCAAACAAACGGTTTTGTTTATATGCTTTTAAAATGGTACATATACATATAAAAGAAAGGACACGAAAATCAGAGCTTGGAAAAACAAGAAAAAAGTATTTGATCATACTCACAGAATCAGCAATGCACAGGTATTGGGTTCCAGAAGGACACCATTTAGGCAAGTTTTGGAAATCCTGAAACCTGACAATTATTTCAAATGTATTACCATGCAAAACCCTGCAGTATTGCACACGAGGCGCCATGCATACATTGTGCACAGATAACTGAACTCTTAGCCCGTCTTTACCAACTGCTTTGAAATACACTTAACACAATTAAGGTTATTATGTTAGGCCTATATTTTAATTAGAGACGTTATACATCCCCACTACTTAATGTATAATAATGTTTGTCGACTACGCAATTTGATAAAAAGTCCAAACAAAATGACCCGCGAAAAACCCTTTAGCCTTTTCTACTTCGCCTTATTATGTGTACAAGGCGACACTAAATAGAAGAAAATTGAAGACAATTCCCTAAAACTGTCACTCAATTAGAGTTATCCAGCGGCTTGCCTTCTGAAATCTCGTTATCTCCTCTACATAAGCAGAACAAACCCAAACCAAGTTTCAGGCGTTATTCTGTAACTGAGGCCATCACTAGTCCTGTCTAGCCAGTTATTTCTATCATTATGAAAACACGCTCAGAAGGCTCACAGCAACACAAACAACTGGGGGTTTATCATCACGACGCATTTTCAAAAATAAGATCGCCGACGCCCAGAACTGAAAAGTCACTGCAAATACAGTGAATTAGTGGCAGATTACGGACTGTGGTACCACCAAGACACCAAGCACAGCACAATGCACACAGCAGACGGTCCGTTTCATATTGAAGGGTGACAACGAGCGTAATGAAAGAAGATGCAGCTAGCCACAGAGTATATTCGTGAGAGGAAAAGCATTCACAACGCCGTTTCCTTACAATAGCAAAACAGAAATTTGTCGAACACAGTCTGGGAGCCTCTAAAAATTAAACGCCCAGTACTGTACCATTAACAAAGGCCGGATTTCTGTACCTTTCAATTCCGTTTTTAATGTACGTTGTATTACTCTTTTGGTTTAAAAAATAATATTAAACAAAGCCAAACACGCTGCTTTCCTAGTGTAGTCACTGAACAGTGACAGGGCTATGTTAGCAGAATACGCTCCAAGAAAACGAAATTATCTCTTACTTACGTTGCAACGCGAACATTACATTGGATACCTTTTCTCTCTCTCTTTCTGTAAATCAGCCAATTTAATTGTGTTCTGTACATTCATTTTATGAACTGTAAACAAAAAAAAGCAGCAGTTAAATTCTTTTTTTTTTGTTGTTACCAGAAAGCCCAGTCGCTCTGTTTTAACAAGGCATCAACATCACAGGTTCGACTGGTTGACATTTGACATCAGGAAGTGACGTAAACTACGTCTTCAATATGGCCGCCTCCTACAGTAAACATGCTTGATCTTACATCGGGGAGAAGCATTGCAATTTATTTATGTATTACGTCTGAAAATTACTGACATGGAAGGTTAGTTTTTTTTTATAGTGCGTGAGTTCGGAGTCTGTCAAAGAGTTATACAAAGTACTTGTCTGAAATAACCACAAACCTTTTTATGTTCTACTCGAGAGTTCATGCCGATTTATGTACTTAAGAGTTTAAGTTAATTTAATATCAGTGAAAACATGTAAATACGAGAGCAAGCAAAACCGATTATTTCGTCAGATATATCTAAATGTGGTTCAGATACAGTTTTCTTTTAGATATTTACTATGAATCCGATTAAATCGATTTCTGTTTTAAGTTTCAGTGAACAGTTCAGGGAATGCAGCATCTATTAGAAGACCTGTTTCAACTAACAGTGCAAGAAAGATAAAGGACAATGCTGCTGACTGGCACAACTTCATTCTGAAATGGGATCGATTAAATGATGAAGGTTTTACAATTGCAAACAAAATTGTCAACCTGAAACTAAGCAAAATGTAAGTATTATTCTACATGCATTTGGCATCTCCAATAGAGAGTGGTGCATTGCCATTTCATTGTTATTGCCCATTAGCTTAAGAAAATTTACTTTCCAGTGTGAAAATTGAAATTGAGATCCATAAATTAATTTTGATTTTGTAAGAAAAGTGACATGTAACAGGTACTGTATAAGGAGCATATATGAAAATAATCATACCCTTAATTTCTAGTAATATGTACTTTTAGTCTAGTGTTTGTATAGTATTGTTTATATAAACTATTATTCTAGTAATAAAAAACACCTCCACTTTTACTACCCTGTCTGCTTTTACTAGAACAGAAAATGACTCAGAATCTAAACTGGAGTGTGATGGTTCAGCTGTCTCCCCAAGATCTGCTACTGCAACCGAACCAAACCAGGAACTGCAGGACGAATGCACTGAGCTGTTGAGGATCTTGGAGAAAATGGTCTGTAAGAGCAATAATACTGCAGTCTTGTCAGAATTGCATTTTCATGTACATCCCTCAAAGTGGACCGCTACGTTTTGTACATTATATCAGAACTTACATTGCACATAGATTTAGCTCGGGTCCCTGAGTAAATATATGCAAAACTATATAACTCTGAAACATACACTAATTTCTAAGAAAACATGATAAAAGTGTGAACACAGGATTCATTTTGTTCCCATTTATGGCCAGACTCACCTTGTATCAAAAATGAGGAAGCTGTCATCTACCGTTAAAGGCATATGTGCACTGGAAACATTTCACCATGGAGATGCCGGAAGAGAAAGCCCTTTGTTTCATACTTGGCCGACGGCACAGTTTGGTGAGTAAAGATGAAATCGGTACTGAATATATGAGGGATATGCTGTTGAACCAAGCTAGACCAAATTACTTCATCTTGTAAAAATGTAAAATACTTGCAGAAAAATGTTTTTATAGAATAGGTTTCTGACAATGTTTTACTGTTCACTTACTTTTAATTGTGCAAACAAGAAAGGTTACAATCAGAAGCTGGCTTTTTGGCTGACCTAGCCTCTTTTGTAGTTAAGACTTAACTAGTTCGAATTAACTTGAAGTTCCGGGATGCCCTTTTACCGTGTGCCTTTACAAAGCAAAGATGTTTATAAAGTTCTACAGCTTGTTTTTTGTCATCAAACGTCAAGTGTTACTAAAAGTGGGCAGCACGGTGGAGTAGTGGTTAGCAGTACTGAGCCCCGAGTTCAGTTCCTGGGGTGCGATCTGCATGGAGTTTGTATGTTCTCCCTGGGATTTCTATGCGGGTTTCTCCCCACAGTCCAAACACATCCAAGCTTATGGAAAGTTGCCCCTGGTGTGAGTGTATGCATGTCTGCGAGTCCTCTCCGGGTTGTGTCCTTCCTTGAGCCCTTCGCTTGCCGGGAGAGGCTCTGGCTTCCCCACGACCCTGTATTGGATAAAGCCGTTAAAAACCATATAGTTTCTTAATGTTGTGTTCCGTTTTCATGTGTGCTTTCTCAATAAAGCGTTAAAAGTGCAAGTTTAAGAGATCCAGTGCGTGCAAATAAAAGAAAAAAAAAACAAATACTGGCAGCATTATTTACACTTGAGGTTCTCCTGTTTTACTCTCCTGTGCTGCCTTGCCAAGCTCCTGAAACCGTGGGGTGAAAACTGAATTGATTTTTACATGAGCAGATGTAAATGTACTGTGCAATAAATCCAGCACCATCAGGCTTTCACTCTTCAGGCCTGAAAAAGAAGCAGTGCTTCACAAAACAATTCAAAAGGCTGCAGTGGAAGTTAAAATCAAGAAACAGAATAATCTGGAACAGTAATTATAAAAGTGTCCATCAAGACCCACTGAATGCTGTAAAAGTTTTTTTTTTCCCCCCTCTCTCTAGATGACGTCTCCTCAAAACTTTTGGAATCTTATGAGCAAGAACTGACCCTTAAAGAAACAATAGTGCAAGAAATTGCACACACAACTGACCGGAGTCTTTCCCTGGTTCATCTGTCAGCCTGGCTTCATCAGCCATACATTGAGGACAACACCAAGGTTCTTTTAGAAAGCATGCTGCTGGAGACTGGGCATAGACCACTGTGAAGCAAACTGGAGGACTTATCTTAAATGTCATCAGTTTCAGATGAAAAACTGCATTCTTTCTCCTTTGGCAGAGAAATGAGTATATACTACTTCATTTTGAATTGTTTGTCCAATTTTATGCGATATTAGGGTGAAGTGACATGGGAAGCTCACAGAGAATTAAATATAGCACAGTAACAAGGCAATTCTACCTGAATATGTGTATAAACAAATACTTTTGATGAACATTTCTCTTGAAACCTTGAAAGAAGTTAGACTGCTTGATCTCATGTTCAGGGCCCTCATCCTTTTAAAAGCTCAGAAAAGATATTTATTATAATGGAAACCAAAACGTCACAAGTTAAGAGTAAAGCAATAACACTGCTTTTATATAAGCGACAGCATATAAACTTCAAATATTAGGAATTGTTCCTGTTAATGTCTTAAAATATGCACACCATCTTTTAATTAAAATGGAAGGGTGAACACAAACATCCATAACCAGCTAAGACTTTTTTTTTATTTCACAGTTTAATTTTAAGTATGAAGATAAATAGTTGTGGGAAAATATATTAGGAAGGAATTATCTGTCAACTAAAACTAAAATTTTGAAAAGTAGTGCAAATAAAGACTTACACCAGTATAAAACAATACTGCGGTTTATTTTCTCTTTGAGAAGGGGTCTCAAGGTATAATATTAATTCATCAAAGGCAGTGAAAAACAATTTGGCAAACATTTGTACCCTTAAAAAAAGTAATAAGAAAAATAGTGCAAATTTTTTAACTCAATTGGTATGTAAATTCTTCTTATAATAAGCTATACATATGTACATATATTTTAGGAGGGGTTCATAGAAAACCTTTTCAACAATGGTGAGAAACACTGAGCATTGTACACACACATATGAAATAAACTGTACAAATAATTTAAAAGTCTTCAGCTTGAATGTCAAGATTATAAAAATATATGATGGTATGCTGAAAAAGCCCCTCCCAGAAGAGGTCTGCTACAGGGGCAATTTTGCCATTCTACCCTTGAGATTCAGCACTGCCTGAGTAAGAGCTCACTGGGAAGTCTCTGAAACCAGGATACCTTCGCTTTGTCCCTCTGTCTCTATACCCAGCAGGGCCTCCACCGTCTCCAAGGGGACACCTTCAGGAGCACGGATGTGCATGGTGGTGCCGTCGGTATCCGTCACTATCAGAATGCGCTCCGATGCTATATCCCCTCCCGAGTGGTGCATGATGAGGCCTTCCGATGTCTGGATGAAGATCTGCTCATGACCCTGAGATAACAGCTCCTGGTTTGCGTCCGAGAGCTTGAACTCGACCGTTCCCCCGACGGATATGATGTGCTCCAGGCTGCCGTTCTGCTCCACGCTCTCCACCAAGGTCAAACCCTTCTCCTCCATCACCTGCAGGCCGCCCTCTGGCTGGCCCTCGGCCTCACTCTGCAGGCTGTCTGAAGCAGGGATAGGTGCTAAAGTCTGCTGGTGCTGCCCCCTAGGCTCTGCGTTGTGAGTCCGGTAAGAATGGTCCAAAGGCACCACATCCCTGGAAAGTGCCTTCTCCAGCTGGTGCATTTGATCTGCTATGTCAGAATCGTTCAGCACCTCCGAAGGTTTCGCGCTGCCGCCTTGCTGGTCGTTTTGGGGGATCGCCAAGAGAACTGTCCCACTCTCCTGCTCACTTTGTACATCCCCCTCCATTCCTCCAGCTGGTTCAACCTCCATGACTTCGTGATTCACAGTGTTAGCTAAGTGCTCCTCAACCAGCTCCTCGGGCGTGAAGTCGTTCTCCAGGCTTGTGAAGACCACCGCTTGCTCCGAAACAGTCAGCTCCTCCTGCTTCTGGATCTCAGTTTGAGAACCATGCAGAGTGACTTCCACTGGCTGGTACAACAGCACATTAGCTGGTTCATTTCTAGTCTCCAAGACCGGAAACCCATTTTCTGTCTCCAGTGCTTTTCTGCTGCTGGGGTCTACTTCTAGTGCACCCTTCACAGCTGATCCATTTAGTTCAACTGTTGGCCCCTGAGACAACGCACTGGGTTCGTTCTGAGCCTGAATAGTGCCTGCAAAAACAAAGGCATTAAGGTGATGAAACACTGATTAGCAGTAACGACACTAACTTGTGAACATCTTTTTTCAATGTGGTACAGTACATTTTCATGCACCAGGAACCAAGATCATTCCGACTGCAGTTATTACAACTTAGAGTGAAAATAATTGGATTGATAATAATTGGATAATAAAGATTGGATCAAATCTGAAATCCGAAAAGATCCTTTAACTTTTCAGATTTTTGTCTGAAAGTGATTTATGTGTAAATCACTGAAGAATGGATGTCATGTGTTTTAAAGCTGTTCATACAAAATATACTTCTGTGTAAAGCAAATACTACAGTATGTTTTACCTTGTTGAGCAGTCCCAGTCGTTAACTGCACTTCTTTCACAATATTCTGAATTCCGTTTTGGTTAAGGTAAACGCCATTCGTTTCTACAGCTGAGTTTTCTATTCTTATCCTTTTTGCTGGCAGAAATGAGCTTTCGCTCTCATGCTAGGAATAAACATTAAAAAAATTACTTCTGGGTACTTAAATACATATACAACATAACCAGATTAACCACCAAACATGATTATACATTCAGGCCCATAATTTCAAATTCCACAGTAACAAAATGTTAAAATGTGCACAGGATAAAAAAAACCAAAATCAATCTTAAAAAAACATAAATGGCAAAACCTCTGGCAGTGTATAATGGGCGCTTTAATGGAAAACAAAATCACTAGAAAAACTCTGGTCACAACATAATTTCTTTACTATAAAAAGTATTTTTCAAAGATGAAATTAGTCTTCATTTGTCAGAATTCTGAATGGTAAAATCTACGGCTTCGTCACCAGAAAAGTTAAGGAAATTTAGAGTAATGATAAAAAAAATAAAAAGGGCCCAGGAGAAGAATCCTTTCAGATTATTGTGAAACTTGACACAAATACCTCGAGACTGCTAAAATGATCTCGGAAATAATCTGATGCACTTCGCAGGTTTTTAAAACACAAATTATTTTTCCGTTTTCTGCCGAAGCAGTTTACCTCCATGAGACGTTTGCCTGCTGAAAGATTATTTTCCTTGCAGACCCTTAGTGCTGGCTGTACCACAGAAGCTGCACCTTGCAGCCTGGCCTTCTTCACAAGATCCTCAATGCCCAAGGACCTGGACACCTGCGGAAATGACACTGTTAGTTCTTCAGCCATCTAACAATGGATGATCCAGATGAGTCACTGAAGCTGTGCATTCTAATGCCCCAAATCTTAATCATTCATACTCCCCCTTTTATTATGCATAAACAGGGGTAGTCGGCTTTCAGGTTGGGGGGGGGGGCACATGTAGGAGAGGCTGGGTGGGGATTGGGAGGCAGAGCATCTGAAGGTTCAGCTGAGCCAAGACTCTTTGCGTCAGAAAAAGGGGTGGCTAGAGTCTCGAGCAGCTCAACAAGTTAAGGGGTTGCAATTCTGTCTGAGGTGCCTCTACCGCCCTCATTCACCCTCCCACTCTGCTAGACGAGCTTCTCCCTGTGCCACTCAGTCACCTCTCCATTCCCACCGTCGATGGTGACAAACCCAGAAATGTATTAAAATACTTCAACATGCTTAAATGTATCCAACTGTCCAACAAGGTTAATTTAACGCGGTATATTGAGATAAAGAGTCACAATGTTTTAAGTTTAAAGATTTAAACTCAACGTAAATAGCGTGTTACTCTCTCTACTCTTATTGCATCTCAAATGTACTTTTTATATTTCATATCAAAATATCTTTTTATGTGTTTAATATGACAAATGGCAACAGCATCTTTACTCACTACTTTTTAGCCATATTTCTTTTCTTTAACCTTGTTAAACTGGATTGTCGGATTACATGACACCTACTGCGGCCTTCAAGACAAGTTACAGAAAGCTGTAAATGACAGCTCTAAGTGACAAATGACAAGCAGACGGCCATTCTGGCAATCTGAAAACTGCAAACAGCTTATTCAACTCTCTTTCTACCCAGTGAAGGAAATGGTTGAAATGAAATGATAATCTTGTGTATTTTTCACAAGCCACTCTGCCAGCTGTTTAAACCAATGTCTTGTTTTCAAGAAGTGGTTGGATGAGGTCAATCAGCTACTGAAAAACGAAACAAGCTAGATAGGTCAACTTCTCTTTTTTTGTAACATTTCTAATGTTCCAATAGGAGTTAGCCATACAGAAGCTGCCCATCTCTTTTCTATTATACCGGGTGATGGACACACCATGCTCTTCTCTGTGTGCGACTGTGCTCGGAGGGAAGGGGCATCTTGCGCTGGTACACTACCTCTGGGTCTCTGATCTCCAGAGGGGTGTGCGGGCCCGGGCCGAGAGGAGAACCGAAGTGCTCCTGCGCCATCTTCTTCACCTGGCTGTGCAGCTGTTCGAACTCCCTGTACACATCTGCAAAGTGAGGCCTGGAGGGCCGCCCCTTCTCCACCTGAGACGGAAACAGTGCACAGCAGGACTGAAGCTGGTTTTAGCCATGGTGAAAATAAAGTTTTTTAAAAAAGGTACAACATACACTGGGATTAAGTGCTTTATTTTCTAAGAGGGCCCTAGCGCGGCACTAATCCTACCCTATCTTCAGAGGATCTTAGGCAATTCCGCACAATCACTTGGGGAATCCTAGACACAGCTGGCTAGTGACATGACCTCGAACCCACATTGCCTGGATCATAGAGCAAAACCTGCAACTGAGCATGCTCCTTTACTGCCACTTAGGAGGCTCCAATTCATCTACAGTTGGGTCTTCACATGCGTGAGGCTTCGGTGCAGAGAACAGCCAAATGTGCTGTAATGTACTAAAGTATACCGTAGGTGTGGTTAAAAGACATAAGCTGATTCACGAACATTAAATTCTCAGATATCAAGACCCTACGGTATTTTTAAACACAGAGCTTCCATTAAAGAAAAGAGAATGCCAGTTGCAATTCAGTAACTACCGAATATCCTCTATAACAAGACGACGTAAGATTTCCAAAAGGTGCTCCGGTCCGAAACGCCTCCATTACCTTCATGAGTAAAAACTCCCACACTGTCATGACTTTTGCCAGGCGGGGCAGAGCCATCTCCATGAGCTCTTCAGTGTCACTTTGCTGCAAGATCTAACACAGACAGAAAGAGGCGTCCTTAGCCAACTGGCTGACATAAGGCACACGCAGACACCCGAACGAAAGACACGTCGGGGCTCGCCTACCTCTTTCAATCGGGCTCTTCTCCTCTGTGCCTGCTGTTCTGTGGTAACTCCTCCCAGGTATTTGGGGGGCCGACCAGGCCTGGCTCTTCTTGCTGGACGGCCTGATACTTTGGGGCGCCCTGGCCTGCCCGGTCCCTTGGGTCGGCCAGGACCGCGTGGTCTCCCCGGCCCGGCGCAGGACGGTACCCCTGGGCCCGGGGCAGGCTGTACTGAAAGGGGGGTGTCAGCCTAAGCAACAAAAAGATGATGCCTTGAGCTCTGACCCAGTCACCTAGTTGGCCTCATGGACAATCATGAGGCATCACGCTGGAAGTGATTCCAGTTTCCAAGTGCATATATCAAACATACGGGGATCAGACAGACAGGTGTATCAAAATGACTTTTTAATGTCCCGGACATAAAGTGTTGGATTTTTACTGACCACATGGCTACGTGACATTAGCTAAAGAGTACGAGTTTTTTATCCTGAAAAAGAACATAGACTTAATAAAAACATTTATGTTGACCTTTTACGTCAAGACATGACCAAGCATAAAGCAAGATTTGCCAATAAAAAAAAAAAATCAGACAAATGTCTGTAGTTCTTTTTGCAGCCCTCTTATTTAACCATGCAGCGCCAATGAAGACAACCTGAAGCTGGAAAACGAATTCCTTTGTGCCACAAGGCTTCAGAGCCTGAGGTGGAACGAACTTCCTTTGGCTCCTAATACTAACCTCCCACACTACAAACCATCCCAGTTATTTAATAGAGAAAGCATGCATTACACATACTAATATTCCCATCTCTCCACCCTGCAGACGGCCTCCGCATTTGACATTTCTCATTCATGTCAGCTCTAAGGTTCCCGACATTGTATTGCGTCATTAGATTGTAACCGATCATGATTGAACGTGTGTGGCGTTTCCTTTTCATTAACAGCCACGTCTTTCACCCGCAGGTCACCTACCTTCTGCCCTTGCAGTGCCACGACTGGCTCCGACAGTGGCCCTACCGGGTCGACACCCTCCGCAGGGGCCACAGGTGGCCCTGGGGGCAGCAGCTCGGTGCCGTCTGCCGCCCGTGAGGCTGGAACCGGTGTCGGTGTGGCGTGCACAGGAGGCTCTGTCGCAGGCGCCCCCCCAGCGTTCCCCGTGGGGGGTCCCACCTCGCAGCCCGCCCCGTCTGCACCCTGGGGGGCAGCCGCTGCCTGCGCGGGCGGCTTCATCTGCCCGTGCGCGGGATTGAGTCGGTAGTGTCTGGACAGCCCCCCCCGGCCGATGTAGGCCTTCTCGCACGTGTCGCACTTGAAGGCCTTGGGGTTGAGGTTGAAGTTGATGGGGGCCGCGTCACCCTTGCTCTCCTCGGCCTCCTCCTCCTCCACGCTGATCTCGGAGTAGTCATCCGAGTCGGACTGGTGGC